ACTGGCTGAATTGCTGTCAGAGTAGCAAGGTTGGGTGGCCTGTACAATGAGGTGGAAATCTTCAAACAGAACATAGCCACAGGAAAGCCTTGGCTACGAGGGAGGGGGAAAAAAAAGGAAGCCTATTTAGATGTCAAACCCAGTGAGTGAACCTCGTGTGATCTGAAGGGTGATCGTCAGAGAGCTCTAGGAGAGACAGTGGTGTTGGGAGTGTGGACTGACTGACCGCTGCTTGGAGACAAGGGTATAGATGCTCACATGGGCTGCATGGGGATGAGGGGGTTATACGAGGGGACCAGTGACCTGCCCAGTGTGTGCAGAAAGTCTTAACAGACTCACCTGGCTGTACTTTAGGAAGTCCAGTTGGTCCACAGCCCATGATTGCTGCAGACTTAGAGCCCTGTAGAGACTGTTTTGTTGGGGTAGTGCATTTCACCCGAATTCCATCACAACAGATTTTTGTGACAGATATTCAGGACACAGATAAAAGAGCAGAGGCATCCTATCTACTGCAGCTATGGAGCATGGACTGTTTCTGGGTCTTATGGTACCAGTGTCACCCTCTAGCAGGTCTCCTACTGTACCTTCCTCAATCTTGTGTGTGTAATTTGCCTAGGATGGGTTTCTGCTACTTGTCTTTAACCTTAGGGTCTATCCTGAATCTTTGAAACAATATCTGGTCAGCCTACTTTATTTAATTATCCTTAAAGTCTATCCCTCATCTACCAGGGCAGGCCCGGAAGTGTGAGTGACTTGTATCATTCAGGAATATTGGAAGCCTTCAAACTATTGATTTAGGGCTTGGAAAGCCCCCAGGGAGCCCACAACCCCTAGGGGCCTGCCAGTTGTTGGGGCTCCAGTGATGTGTATATAGAGATAGTCAACTAGGAAAAGCCAGAGGAGTGAGTCTCTATTGCTGGTGACATCTGGGTCTCAGAAATCCAGCCATTTGTTTGGATAGATTACCTGGTGAATTCCTTATCTGTCTCTTACTAAATCAAACGTGGCTTAAAATCAAAGATGCCAAGAAGGCTGACTACAGAGAGAATATGTGTGTGTGGGGTGGGGGTTTCCCACTAAGGGGGCCGGTGAGCCGGCTGCACAGGGCTCTTTTGTCCTGTGGAAGGGCCCCTTCCTGAAGGCCTGGTGCTGATCTCTCTCTGGCTGCCTGTGAGCATGCAGCTCTCTTAGCTGGCTGCCGGCCTTCACCACAGAGTCTCTGGCTGGCTTCTGGTGTTTTGTTGACATTAATTATACACAGCAGCAAGGTGCCCAAGGCCTCCAGCAACTCTTTTTGGGTATCAGCTGTTGCTTTTACTGTTCGATGTACTCTGCCCCAATCTTCGTGAAGCCTTGATATTTCCAGCCCTACAAATGGCAAGGTCGGCTTCAGTTTCCTGCTTCCATTCACTCCTGTCTTGTCTGGGAATGGCCCTTGGTTTTCTTTGCCTCTAAGACTTTTTCTTCACCTGAACATTTGTGTTTGTGTTTTCACTGCCCCTTTCCTGCCCTTTATGGCTTTCTCACGTCTCCTTGCCTGTTCATTCTCAGGCACCCCTCCCTGAGCATCTTAGACCGAAACTGAGCTTGCTGTGAGCACAGGAAAGCCAGACTTCTGATAACCCATATTCATTTCCACTAGTGTAGCTGTGGCTTGGGCACCGGGGCAATTTGGAAAGTCTTTGATTCAGCAATTTGGTTGCCAAGATTGTGGTTTAAGGAATGAATTATGGCTTTCATATATGTATGTATATATGATATATATTATATGATATATGTATATGATATATATCATATATTCTTCCAAAAAATACCCCACACTAAAATTAAGCAGACCCAAAGTCTGAACGTATCAACAGTTCGAATATCTGAAGCTGTGAAGCTTCACGTCAGATTTTGAGTTTTCAGTATCAAATATATTTTGTGCACCAAAAAACGGAAAATGCACGGCAGAGTTGAAATACAAAACCAAGGGGCTTTATATCCTCTTTTGTGACTTGGACCTTTGCCTGCATGCAGTCCTCCCTTCTTCCCTAATTGTTACCTACCCTGGTTCTGTCTGCATGTTACACAGTGCCCACGAGTGCATTTGCTTACACATAAACAAATCTTATTGGCTAGGTTTCTCCTTTGAAGGAGAACAAGTGTTCTTTCTTCCTGCGAGTATGTGATCTTGTTTAATGCTATTCATTCCAAGCATTCCAAGTTCTTCCATCTCTTTCTGCAAATTTTGCAGTTTCAGTTCTCTTTAGAGTTGAATAGCATGTACACACACACACACGCACGCACACACACACACACACACACACATGTGCACAAATGCACCTGCACACATATATGAGCACGAGCATGCACACACACATGGATGCACGCACGCACACACGCACGCATACACATCATATTTTCATTATCCATTTATCTGTTGATGAGCAGATAGGTTGTTCCAGTTGTTTGCTGTGGTGAACAAAGCAGAAAGGAAAAGGCCGTGCAGACATCTTTACGGGAAGGCCAGGAGTCCCGGGTGTGTGCCCAGGAGTGAAACAGCTGGGTCAGATGGTAGTTCTATTTTTAGTTTTTGAGAAATATTCAAACTGATTTCCACAATGGCTGTATTAATTTGCACTCCCACCAACAGTGAACAAGGATTCTTTTCTCCCTGCCCACAGCCTCTTCAACACTTGCTGTCAGATTTGTTGATGACAGCCATTCTGACTGGGATTAGATGGTATCCCAAAGTAGTTTTAATTCATATTTTCCTGATGGCTGGGGATATTGAAGATTTTAAAATAATACATATTGACCCTTTTGTGTTTCTTTTTCCTCTCTCAAAAACCATCTGTTCAGTTTTTGTCAATTGGCAATTTTGTTTTCTTGGATTTCATTTTATGCAATTCTCTGTAATTCTGGCTGTTAGCTCCTGAAGTGTAACTGGCAGAGATTTTCTTCCATTCTGCAGGCAGTGTGTGTGTCCTGGTGACTGATCCCTTTGCTGGGCAGAAACTTAATTTTCGAATAGTTCCGTTTGTTAATAGTTCGGGGTTAGTTCTTGCCTACTCTGATGAAAAGCATTTCCTATGTTTCTTTCTAGAAATTGAGGTGCGTCAGGTTTTAAATAAAGACCTTTGATCCACTTTGAAATGAGTTTTTTCTAAAGCGGAGACGTGGTTCTAATTTCATCTTCTGCCTGTGAAAGCCAGCGTTGCCAGGCCCATTTGCTAGGCAGGCTATCTTCTTTGTCCCCTTGGTATGTCTTTATATTCACTGCCAAAACTTAGGCGAGCACAGTGTAGCACTCATTTTTGCATCCTTTGTTCTAGTGCATTGGTCTTCCTGTCTGTTTGGATGCCAGTCTTTATTATGGTAGGACTGTAGTGTATAATCTGAGGCCAGGCATTGTATATGATACCTCCAGTTATGGCCTTACTCTTTAGGACTGCTTTGACTATTTATGGTCTTCTGTGGTTCCATATGAATTCTTGAATTGTTTCTTTTCCTAAACTTGTGAGATATGATGTTAGTAAATTTACTTTAGTAGCACAGCTATTTTAACCACATTAATTCTGCCACCCCAGGAGCATTGTTTAGCATTTTCTGTGTTCTCCTTTTTCAGCACCTTGAAGTTTTTGTTGTAGAGGTCTTTCACTTCTTTGTTGTGATGTATCTCTAAAAATTTGTTTGGGGGTGTGGGGTGATACAGTTTCAAATAATATTTGTAATTAGCACAAAAAGAATTAGTAGGAATTTAAATGTCAACCCTTTGAGGGCTTTGTAGAATTTATGGTAGGGCACTACACAAGAATCATAGGGGACTCGGAGACACATATGCATTATGTAGCCATTAGATGACACTACAGAACACTGAGGACTCACATTAAACCACACCTCACCCATTACCATTTTTATAAAAAAAATCTGGCAGACAAAGATAAGACAAGAATCAGAAAGTGATATGTTTTATAAAACAAGGTATGAAGTGGCAGGAGGGTTGCCTTAGCAGGGTCTGTGCTGAGGTGTTCCACTGAGGTATCAGCCACAAGACAAGTCTAGTATGAAACGAAGTTTATTTGGGACCTGGGAAGGGGGTCTGGCGAAGGGAGTAGAGGCAGAGAAAGAAAGGGGGCAGAGAAAGACAGAAAAAGAGAGAGAGAGAGAAAGAAGGGAAAAGGCCAGCCTGGAACATGTGGAGAGAGAGGGGGGAGGGGGTGGGAGAGAGGGAGGGAGGGAGGGGGAGGGAGAAAGAAGATGGAGAGTCCTTTTATACATGAGCCAAGCTTGTACCTTGATGTTACTAGGCAACTATTGGGCAGAGCCCAGAGGAAATGCTAACAGAAAGGGTATCCTGTCATATGTAGTTTTCTTGGATAGAGTAACAATGAGTAACTTTTTCTTTTCATTTAAAATTTTATATTATTTTAAATGCATAAATGGAACTTAATCTCCCTGCCACAAGGTCAAATGCAGTTACTTTAAAAACTCACCTATCTGCTCAGATGTAGTCTATGGATTGAAAATTCAGGCCCAGTCCTAAATGCTTCCAGAATGAATGAGAACTTGCCTTTACGTTTGTAACAGCAGAAACAGTGTGCTCCATGTGGGGAGACTGAGCAGGTTTGATGAGATCAGTGAAGCCACAGGCTTTGTCTGCATACAGGACTTGGGCTGGATCTGAGGATGTCTCACCTTGCCTTTCTCCATTACCAGTATTGAGTAGTAATCCAGAGGCTCTAGTAAAGTTTGCTTTGCTCAGTTTGTTACTCAGACTGGGCAAAAACAGGTGGACAGGGATGAACAGATGGCCAGCTTAAGTCGTTTGGGAGGAGGCTGGCTTCTTTGGGGAGGAATGTGCTCTGCAGGGGACTCTGAGGTGGGAGCTGCTGGGTCAGGGCTGAGGGAGCAAGGGTGTGTGTGTGTGGGGGGGGAGGGCGGGGAGGGCACCCACTTCCATGGTTGTATTAACCCTGTGCTCTGGCCTCAGCTTGCACTCTCCCTTTTCCCTGCAGGCAGGGGTAAAGCCAGCTGTGCAAGCTCTGCAGCCAGCAGTGGAGAGAGACACAATCCGTGCCCTGGAAGTCAACTGAAATGAACTGGCCCCCTTGAGGCTTCCCCAAATACCTGGTCCCCACTTTCCAGTCCGATGCTGAGGTAAGAACCCGTACAGCAAGCTCCAAGGAGAGGGCACAGTGGTTCTTTGGGGGAAAGGTGATGGCAGTTCTCTAAGGCTCAGGGAGGAAGGAGTTTTTAATTCCAGCCATCAGCTACACAGAGGCAAGTGCACTGGAGGCTAAAGGCTTTGGTTTGTTAGTGCAAGAACTTCCATTTTCTCCGTTGCTAAGGAAATTTGAACCCTAAAGAGAGTGAACTTATCCTCAAGGTTTTCTGTGTTCTGCACAGCAAACAAGCTCCCAGGGAACACATCCATGTGCTTCTCTGCCTCCTCGACACACTCCCTAACCCAGGAAGTACAGGTGACAGACGTCATGTAGAGAGTTTATGACAAAGCATTCCAGTAGGTTTATCAAAAGTGATTTTAAGCCGGGCGGTGGTGGCCCACACCTTTAATCCCAGCACTTGGGAGGCAGAGGCAGGCGGCTTTCTGAGTTTGAGGCCAGCCTGGTCTACAGAGTGAGTTCCAGGACAGCCAGGGCTACACAGAGAAACCCTGTCTCGAAAAAGCCAAAAAAAAAAGTGATTTTAATAAGTAATAAGTACTCCCAGGACATTTGGAAGAAAAGAAAGCAGGGTCTAAAAACAGTGCTCTGTTAGGGTCCCTCTAAGAATAACTACTGTAGGATGCTGATGCCGTCTACATGGAGGTAGAGGGATGATTCCATGAGGGACCAGGAGATCTCACTTCTTACCTAGAAGCTCTCTTGAGCTGCTTCTAAGCATCCAGGATTTTTTTCCAACATAATGTTTTTATTGTTTTTCTGGGGCAATTTCACATAATGTACCCTAATCTCATTCAGTTCCTAGTACTCCTGGTTCCCCTTACCCTTGTAACCTCCCCCCAAAAGAAAGAAGGAGAGGAAGAGGAGGAAAAGAGGAAGGAGAGGAGGAGGAGGAGGAAGAAGGAGGAGAAGAAGAAAAAGAAGAGAGAGAGAGAGGGAGGGAGAGAGAGAGAGAGAGAGAGAGAGAGAGAGGGAAGGAAGGAAGGAAAGGAAGGAAGAAAGAAAGGAAGGAAGGAAGGAAGGAAGAAAAGAAGGAAAGAAATACAGAGTCTGATTGTGCTGCCATTTATTCACTGGAGCATGGTCAAACGCCCAGAGGCCAGCCGCTTAAAGAAAACTGAGTCCTTCCCAACTAGCACCCAGCCAGAAGCCAATTGTGAAGCACTATACTTTAGCATCCTTGTCACAGTTTTTAAGAGGTCTCTTCAATGGCTTCCTGTCTCGACTGTTTCTTTTGCTTTTCAGGGGGTTGAGGGTGGTGTGTGTGTGCGTGGGGCGGGTTGGTGGCTGAGGGTGTGTGTGGTGCAGGGAGAGGTTGTCACAGAAACCTTCCAAGTCTCATTCTTAACTTTGAGATTTTACAAACCAGTAGTTCGAAATTGTTAGAAACAAAACACTACCATTTCCCAACCCAACAAGACAAAATAATACAGAGCACTTTGCAGCTTAGAACCGACCACTGTGGGAGAGTGACGTGTTGCCATTGAAACTGGAGGAGCTGCAAAGTAGGCTTCCTAGAGGAGTTTTCTTTTGGTGGTGGTGGGGATCAAGCTTAGGGTCCTGCTCATGCCAGGCAAGTGCTGTACCAACGAGTCTAAGTCTCCTCCCCTGTGAAGACTAGGTGTTCAGTAAACACAGGTCTGTTCGCAGGGTCTCCTGGGTAGCTGTCAGGGTCTAGCTACATAATGGTAGTGTCTGATACTGCGAGGCTCCTTGTCTGCTGCAGGGAGGGAGTTAGGCCACCAGAAAACCTTGGTATATTGATGGAGAGAAACTGGCTGCATTTCTCCTTCTGACAGGCATCTCGGTATGTGTGTTGTGTGTGTGGGGTTCTGAATTATTGATACCATTTCATAACGGCAGGTGAAAACCCTCCATTTACCGACCAACATCTGAGGTGCATTTTCTTTCTGGAAAAGTTGAGAGACTGGTCAGAGAAGTGTGAAAAGGAGAATCGACAACAGCGTCACTGGATGTGAAAGCCAGGACCCCCGTCAGGGCTCATGATCTCTGAGGGAGGGTGAGGGTGACTTCCTGCCAAATATGAAGTTTCAATAAAAGCCTCTTTCTCTCTTCAAGGCCCTGCTGTCAGCAGATTAGAGCTAATTAAATTAGCATAATGGAGTCCTGGCCTCTGCCCTCTCCTTTCTCTGTCTTCTGGTTACACTTCTTGCTTGCATGTCCTTAAAAAAAAAAGGGCTTAGGGACAGGGTGAGACATTGGTGACATTCCACTTTCCCTTTGTGGTTCAGGAAATTAGGAAGGTAGGAAAGCACAGAGCAGTCAGGGATCCAGACCACCTAGTAGCTAGTGGTTAGCCCTTGAGGAGAAGGGGTGTTCTGGAGGAAGATGCTGGAATGGGGAGGAGCCTGAGCTGCAAGGCTGCCTGACCCCTGAGCTCTTGTATGTAACCAGCAGTGGAACACATCCATGGTCTCCAGCTGCCACCCCTGCCCCTGCTTTTCTCAGGCCTTCCCCTGCATGGTTGCCAAAGTCTCAGTACCCTTCAGAAGCAGCCTATAGTTTTCCTGGACATAAGCCTCCTTCCTTCAGGAACTTGGTTTTCCTTCTCAATGCTGATGCAGGTGGAGAAGGTCTTACTCTAAGGACTGAGGAATCTTTCTTTGTGGTGTAAGAAAGATCAGGGCTTGGACTGAGCACCCATGCTCTCTGCTGTCTCTGTGCCCTCTTCTTACCTCTGCAGCCTCTGGCACTGTGCCTTCATCCATGTCTCAGATACGGAAACTGAAGCTTGGCTATAGAAAAGCTCCTCTCAGAGCTGCCAAGTGTCCTTCATAGCAAGTGGTCATCCAGGCAGGGGTTCCCAAGCCAGCGCCTGCAAGCATTTCCTCCCCTAAGGGAGTATCACTCTACTCAGAATGCTTGTGAACAGGGGCCATAGAGTTTGCAGATCCCCCAGGGGCTCTTCCTTGTACTGCGAGAGAACATCAGATCTGGGAGACTGCGCTTCCTGCAGCTTGTCCACGAGATGGCCCAGGAGATGGGCCCGCCTCCCAGTCCTCCCTGCTGGCTAGAAACAGGGTTTCCCCTCTCCTGAGTGCTTTTATGATTTTTAAAAAATGGCCGCATGAAATTCTGTTGTGTAGCTAGACCTCCTCTTCTTTATCTGTTTCTCAGTTGATGGATATCTAGCTGGTTCCATCTCTTTGGTATTGTGAAGGGTGCTCCTATAAACAGATACATAAGACATTTCTCTGGTGTGTTGATTGACCCCTTTGGGTGTAGCTTACTCATATGGTAATTCTATGTCAACTTGCTGGGGAACCTCCATGTGGGTGGGTTCAGCAATGGCTATACTAGTTTGCACACTCATCAGTGACGAATTATGGTTCCTTTCCCCCACATCTTACCAGAACTTGTTGTTGTTTGTTTTCTTGACTTGGATGAGATGGAATTTCAAATGAGTTTTAATTTGCATTGCCCTGATGGTTAAGGATGTTGAACCTTTTAGAACATATACACTGCCTGTTCAGTCTGTTGGCACGTTCATTGACACAACGTTTGTTGCCTGAAGTATGCTTGGCCAAGACTTCTTCCCATTCTGCAGGCTGTCCACTCACTCCAGTGATTGTTCTCTTTGTTTTGTGGAAGCTTCTTGGTTTCATTTCAACTCTCAGGTTTATTTCTTGTGCTATTAGAGTCCTGTTCAGAAAATATCCCAGGAAAGAAAACTTTGATCTAATTTTGTAGCTATTTACTGAGTGTCTATTATATGGCAGCAAAAAAGCCTATCCTGTTTGGGCAAGAAATTCTTGCCCAGCCTTGGGCACACAGATTAAACAAGGACAAGGGGAAGAACTTTCTGGAAACAAGACTATATAGGACATCGGCTCTCCTTACTGTTAGAGCCATACACCTCCAGCTTGTCTTTCAAGGACTCTAAAAGCAGGAACTACCTTGAAGCTACTGTGTATTTCCAGGGTGTCCAGACTCCCAACCTTAGTTTGAAGTGTTTGTTCTATGATGAGCACACTAAGTAACACATAAAGTGCTGGCTTGTTTTATGTCAACTTGACACACGCTAGAGTCATTCAGAAGAGGAGGCATCAAGTAAGAGAATGCCCCTACTAGATAGGGGTATGGGCAATCCTGGGGTGCATTTTCATGATAGATGATTGACATTCAGGGCCTGGCTCTCTGAGGGTGGAGCCACCTCTGAGCTGGTAGTCCTCAGCTCTGTAAGAAAGCAGGCTGAGCAAGCCACGAGGAGCAAGCCAGTGAGCAGCACCCTTCCATGGCCTCTGCATCAGCTCCAGGTTCCTGCCTTGAATTCTTGCACTAGCTTCCCATGATGATGTTGTGGTGGAGGGGAAATCTGTTCTTCCTCAGGCTGCTTTCAGTCATTCTTTTCTAACACAGCTATAGAAACACTTAACCAGAACACATGGGGAAGAGGGACAACTGAGGGGACGAGGGGCTGTCTAGAAAGGCACTGCCAGACGAAACTGGGGGTACTGGGGTCACGATCTAAGCTAGGGTGGTGGGGTTGTGGGGTGTGGTTTCATAGAGAAACAAGACTCCTTTTGACTGTGGCACCCAAGCCACCTGAGAAGGCTCAGAGTACATTACCTAGAGTTGAAAGAACTCTTTCGCCTTCTTCCTTGGAAGAAGTAGAGACCCAGAAAGGGGGAGGCCATGTTTATTGCTCAAGTGGAACAGGTGTCTGGTCTCCTGACTGACCAGGGTCTGTCTCATCAAACCTTCCTGGGCAAATGGAATGGCCAGCACTGCCACCTTCCTGTCCCGGTCTGCAATGGGCTTTGCAGCTACAGACATTTGTAGCAATGACAACCCAGTATGGGGAGGTGACATCTTAATTACCAGAGATGTGATTCCCCCCTCCCCCGCCACACACAGACACTCTACTCTCTTTGTTCAAGTTTTCCTCTGTGTCTGCTTTTGCTAGAATCAGACACCTAAGGCTCCTCACAACACAGAGATGTTAGCGCTCAG